TATATATAATTTATATATATATATGTATTTATATGCAACAAATTTTTGAAATCTTACTAACTAGAGTAACTATTATAAAGTTATGTGTTATAGAAATAAGCATGTCTAAAAAAATCTTGTCAGCTGACAATGTTAATCTTGAAAATATATCAATCCAAAATACTATATACTTGCGTAATTAAAATAAAGTTAACACACGCGTTAACAAAAAATTATAAAACAGTTAATACAAGAATATTATTTTTATCAAGATAACAATCGCGTGTAAAACTTAAATGTATATCTTATAAACCCTAAATAATTACAAACTATAACACATTCTATATTGAATTGTGATATTATCATTTACATTGCATTATTAATTAATCATTTTCAACTTCCTAAAGTTTGTGTTATTGATCTAATAAAATACATAAGATATATGTAAATAAGTACTTAAAAACATATAAAAAGAAAGAAGTCAGGTTCATATTAATCAATTTTACTCGATACAGTTACACATAATGTTTGCTGTTAATTGGATAGCAAGATTATATATGCAAATCTTCTTATTATTGGCTATACATATTTGGTATTTATTATTAAAACTTTTATATGTGGCTGTGTAAGAAGATGGAAGAGAAAAGCAATCCCTTACTTATATTTAAAATATACATCAATATTATATAATATATATAAAAAATATAATATATGAAATATATATACACTCCCATTATATTAGAAATATATTTATTTAAAAAAAAACTGAATCTAAAGATTAAAGGGAGATAATTTTACTTTCATTCTCTAATACACAAAAGCATTTGGTATAAATATTAGCTTTCCAGGAAAGGAACTATATAAGCAAACCTTAGGAAGTTGATTTAAATCAGACTTGAAAAACAAGAGAGACATTGATATAATTAAATTGCAATAAAAATTATGTTTTTGCAAAATATTATCGAACTATATAAATGTGTTATATAAGCAAAACCTTCATTATAAGTATGATATGTGCATTATAAAAAGCTTATCTGTATCTGAAACTAACAAAAACTGCAACTCTTTCACTTTTTATCTTCTTCTAAAACTTACTTATGTCATGCTATCTTCAAACATTGCGTTTACTAGTCATATATTAGATGATTGTGTTTTATCATTTCAAATAATTGTATTATCATGTAAACACACCATACCTTGTACGATCGCGATATTTCTATTAGGTTGTATTTATTAGAAAATATTTGTCGAGAAAACGCATTGTTCGAAGTTGCATCTAAATAATGGAAGTTCATATCTATATTACAGATGTTAGTAAGAGCACAGAAGTCTACATTATGAAACAAATTTCAATTGTATATATTCTCGTAATCATCAAAAAATACTTTTCATTTATGTAAGATTGACCAGCAACCCGTTGAAACTAAATCTATTAAAATCAAATTCTGAAAAAACTATCAATTGAACCAATTGTGAACTAAAAACATGTTAAATATACTTTGCAATTCGTCATATTTCACAATTCCTTTTCATTAAAAATTTATCAAGTTAATTCATCGTTTCTAATGTTTATACAAATTACCTCAAGAACCCTAATGCGACTATTACGGACTATAGACCAACATTTCCGAATTTTACACAGTCTTATTGGAACGCTTCATACATCATCTTTATCATTATTACTTGTAATTTTCATCATTTGATGAAAATTGTTAAATTAGTCAATACAAAATTATGTATATGATATAATGCGATACCAGGTCACAATTCTCATTTAAAGTCTATCTGTAGGCTCAACTAGTATATATTACTAAATTACAATCATCTGTTTTAAATCATTATGTTTCACAATACATTCTTACAATTCCCATTTATATAACATCATAAGAATGTCAAAATATAACAGATCGTAAAATTAATCAATGAATACATAATTGCGATATACTGACTAGCGCACTTTGCTTTCTCACTATATGTACATATACATACATATCCTTTTGAAATTCTAACACAAATATGGTGCACAAGTATACTACAAAAGGTAAATTGTACAAATCGGTTTCAATTATTATATTGGAAAACATAAAGAGATGTCTAGCAGATTTCTTTATCAATCTAGTTTCAATCTGGATTTATAAACAAATCATTTTCCTCATTTACTTAGATCTTTGTTACTTTAAAATTATTACTTTGCTCTCAGAAGGATATGTATATCTCACATATAAGCACACATAAATACATAATAAAATTTATATGTATAATATAATATATATATATATGCAGTCATATGCAATTTTCAGCTGTGCTATCCATAAATAACAGACACGCAGGCGATTTATCAAAAATTCATACCATACATGAATTACTAATTTAACAGTCAAACAAAAACATATTAATATTACAATTTATTATCGCCTTGTTACAATCATGATAAGAAAATTTATATTTTCCATTTAAGTTCGTATATGCGTCACATGCGCATCTATACGATTCTTATCACTGTGTTTTAAAGTTTAAGCAAAGGAGCTAAACGGCAGTTACTAGCGTAATTACGGTAGACAAGAATAACGTATTTCTGAAAACAGTTATAGACAGTCATAGCGTTTTCAGAAAAATTAAAATCACTCTAATTCTTGTTAATCTATATGTAAAGTTGAAACCTCATAAATATAAATCTTTTTATTTATAAAGAAATGTAAAATTTTTTGTTTTACATAAGATTATCCTAAGTTCATCAACAAAAATATCTGCATAAATATATTGCAGAATATAGAAAGTGCAAGTGATTAAGACTTGGTAGAGCTGCAACATTTGGAGCAATCAAAACAACTGGTATGCTATCTCTTAATAGACCACGAAGCTCTATTACTACCTCCAGAACCCTCCAGTTTTTGATTACGCAGCTCAGTAATAGTTTCATGTAAGATTTTCTTTTCTTCCAGAAGACTCGCGATATTGTCTTCTGCAACACTCAAACGAGATCTTATTATGTCCGATTCCTCTTTCGCGCGCATTAATATCGCGTTTTCTTCCGATAATCTTTCCAGAGCTCCCATACGACGTCTCAATTCCTCGTTATCCAATTTCAGTTGTCTACTAGATTGTCTCAGAACATTCAATTCCCTCTCACACTCTATATTCTTAAGCGTGTGACTGTTATTACTCGATAACATCATATTTGAACGGTTCTCCTCCATCGTAGTTACTAAAATCACAAGAAAATTATTATTTTACCTACTGGATGAAAATTATATTATATAATTTTAAACAGAAACATACAAATACGACAGCGTTTAGCTTCTTTTAGTAGATGTAATAATCAGAAATAGTGGCCATACTAAAATATATGTCACATCCATGTCATATATATGTGTATATATATAATTTATAATAAATATAAACTAGCTAAAATTTAAAGATAATTTGACGAATTATATAAGATTAATTTAAACATACTATAAATAGTGTTAACTAAGATAGAAATACTTATGACAATAGATAATTTTAAAAAAGAGTGTATATAATATAATAATATAATTATAATAAATGTTCTTATATAAAGTTGTATGAAAAAAATTAACTATATTGCCCTTTATTTTTTATAATTAAAGAATATAATGTCAATATTTTATAACTATCTATATAAGACAATCAAGATGCAGTTTGATGAATTAATAATTTGTAATCATAAAGAAAACAGCGGTTAAGAAAATTTATTAAAAAAATATTTCCTGCTATTAATTCCCAAATTTTCAAGCATATCTTTATACAAGTCTAATAAATAATGTATAAAATATAGAATAATAAGGTAATAAAGGGTAATAAAGAGTAGAATGAATAAATATAATTAATGTTACTAAACTAACAAATTTTTCTTTTATATGAATAAATAAGATTATAATTCATGCTTACTTAAATCCATATCTAGAATATTCTATCTACATATATATACTGCGGGTTTTCCATAAAATACAGTCTTTTTACAAAAATCTTTTTTTAAAACGCCGAATCTTTACAAGTCAGCGTTTTATAAAAAGCCTAAACTTTTTTGTAAAAAAAACAGAATTTATAAAGATTCTGTAACATAAAGATTATGCATGTATCAAATAATATAATATCATTTTAAGCTTGTGCAATAATAAGCAGCAAGAAACTAAAACTACTTGTCTACATGTGTTATATCAATGCTCACATTAGAAAGGCCGCCTGGGTGCACAGAACAATTATGCAATATGTAATGTTAATTACTTTCAAATCATAAATCTGCCACTTGCGCAATGTAAAAATCTACATATAATACCAAATTACAGGTATACGTATTTACAGGCGCACAGAAACGACAAAATCAAGATTAAGATCACATGAAGATCGGAAAAGAAAAAGTCAACTCAAAAAAGTTAACTGGCAAGTGGCAGAAACAGATGGATACAACTGGCTTAAACAATAGTGTTACTTACCGACTGGTTCGATGTGAAACGCACCGCTCATGTCCCGCGCTATTCTAAGTTTGGAAATATTCAAATCTATCGGAATCGGACCCGGGGAAGTTATGTTATTTGGCGGACGATCTTCATTCAAACGTAACGATATATTTTCCAAGAATATCTGAAATATAATAAAATGCACGCTTGTGAGAATAAATCGAAATTATATATTTCGAACAAAAGAGGAGATTACATCCGCGACAATATATTGCGAACAATATCTACCTGCATGGGAATCGGTTTAGGTATAATTTCGTCCTCTGCCAAATCCGCTAGACCCGTCACCGAGCTCATCGATAACGCCATCGCTATGTTAGCGACTTTCATGTCTAATTTGTCCTCGAATAAATTCATAATGCTCTCTTTGTCATGCACGTCGATGCCAGATGTACGGGATGTGTCCTGTTCGGGCAATTTAACGCGATCTTGATGTGCTTGCCTATCACTGTCGTTAGTAATCTTCTGGCTGGCATTCCAAAGTCTGTGAGAATCGTCCGCATCTTTTAAATTATGATTCAAACGTAATTTAATGCGCGATCTGCAGTCTGAATCAGATGGTAATTCTACCCAGCCTCGAGATCGCGAACTGAACTTGGTCTATCAAACAGAATGGCATAAATAATATTAAATTTAGATGGATCTTGAAATTATATAACATACAGTTAATAAAATATCTCTATGTTTCTATATATTGACCTTACGTTATTATATTCAAGTTATAATACCGTATTGCAAAATTAGACTAATTAAAAATATGATTTGTATTCTAACTGAATATCTTTATGAATATTAATTGTAGATCACAAAAGTTGATTGTAATTTGACAGTACATAATTAAAAATGTAATTATTAAATTTGTTAGTTATGGAATGGACACATTATAAAATGTGATAATAAGATATTACATATGCTAAAGCACACTTTGTGAATTAAGATTTAGCATAAAGCAAAAAATATCATTCAGATGCAAAAGCATATAGATGCACAAAAGCAATATTACATAGTGTTTAATATGTGAAACATTATTTTAATATAGTCTCATTTATAGCAATATATGAAGCAAATGAAATGATGCATGTTTCCAGTATGTTGCCATTTATGCTTATTGTAAATATTGTAAATAATGCAATCTCATCACTAGTTTCTAAAAGTCAAAAATCAATATCACATGCCATATATTGCCACTACAATCTAATTAATTAACAATTTCAAAATCGTATTTATGTCAATTGTTCTGTGTCTGGAAATCATAGAAGAATTAAAAGCAAAAATCGCACTGGTTAGTAAGTTCTTTAATATTTAACAATAAATAATACATAATCTTTTGACAAAGTAATCTTAAAATTACTTTGTTAAACAAATGTAAAAAAATAAAAGCAGAAATATTTGATGCCTTTGCCCTATTTTAATAAAGCAATGTTGCAAAAGAAAGATTACCATGTGACTATCATATACAATCATACATTTAAACATATCATTAATTACTACTTAAATATATATCTGTCTGGTCGGCTTTCTTTATATAGAAAATTTACGTCTATTAATAATAATATATGGCAAATATGTGTAATAATAATAATTATTATTTTAATATATTACAACATTTTTAAAGTTTTGCATTAATTCTATGAGAAATCTATCAATAGTGTAATAATAACAATAAAATGTGTGTATGTGTGTGCGTATGTATGATGTGGCTCAATATCGACGCATGCATTTTTTAATAGTGTTTAAGATTAATAAATGTATGAATGGTTTTGCCCAATACCTTTCTCTTGACCTGCCACAAGTGCCACATAAAAACATTCACAAGAGAAGGAGAGACGCAGGAGAGGCATGCAAAAAAGTTAAGAGACAAAAATCGTATAAATATATATTTATAATAATAATATCAACTGGTTGTAATATAAAAACAATGAGCAAATTACTGCAAAACTACTCGAGTATTAGTAACTCTTATGCACAAGTCGCTATTTCGAATATATACTCTAAATGGAAAGGTTTATATACTATGATTTATAATCACAAAGTTATATATAGTTTCAATGCGTTTTTTCATAATTGTAGTAACATAATTATGTGGAAAAGTCATTATACTAGTGTTGAAAAGATTATTAAGTTGTTCCAAATGTAAGATTTTATATGTGAATATGTATATAATTTTTTATTTGAAATATATATTTTAAATTCACATATAGATGTCAAATAAACTTTATTTTCTAGATTTGTAATATTTGACGTAATAATATTGTTATATTGTGTAAAAATAATAGAAATTCCATAGTAAAAGAAAGAAGAGAATAAATTTTTTTTGCAGCAATACAATTAATAATAAACTTTGTTTATTTAAAAAGAGCGTAATTGTATAATAACAGCGTAACAAATATATATATATATATTTTTTATATTGTTTCGATTAAGATAAATCTGGCTTACCTGAAATTCATCCCAGGGTATAGACGAACACTCATCATTGTCGATGTTAGAAACTTGAACTTTAATGACAGATGAATAACCGCAGGACTGTTGTAAAAATTCGACTTTTGATAGTTTAAATGTTACCATGGAAACCTATGGATAACAAACAGAAAGATTTTATATATTTTTACCATCTTTAATAATCATGAAGTGATTTGTGCATGTACGCAACGTTGTTTATGATATACTTACTATATCTTTTCTTTTGCATACACTGTCCATAGATTTTTCACTTTGCGTGTCAGGCGTTTCTTCTATCACTTCAGTTGCTTCTTCTACTGCTGTAATCCTAATCGTGCTATCGATGCCGAATACCGCGTCGATCTTTCCTTGATCCTGAAGGTTCACCAAAACATAATTCTCGCTATCCGAGCTAACGTCACTTCTCATGGACATCGTATCGCTACTACCGTCTTCCGGGGAAGCCTTCAAAGCCGAGTCAATTGATGTCATTAAGTTGCTGAATCCTTTTTTCATAGACGAGAGATTGACGTTGAAATTATTCGGAATGAAGGGCGTGTTCGAGATCGAATCCGACTTGCTGTGTTTATTATGCGTAGCTTCAACCGCATGTTTCTTTTCGTCACTCGTACCGCCAACCGTAGATTGTGATCCGCTACTCTCGGGAATGCACCACATCGCAGGATTAGCCGGATTCTCCTGATCGCCTTTTTTCGTGCCGTTTTGCTTAAAAGTGACGACTGGTTGTGATGTTGGAACAGGATGCGAATAATCCATTGACAACATCGACGACGCCTCGCTCTGAGGCGTCTCCACGTCGTTGCTCGTGTTCATTCTCTTGGCGCTAAAATCGACACGCGCGCTCACATTACCCATGTGCCAGGCCGTGGACGAGCCGATGAGATCGTCCGCTATGCTGGACGAGTCAGGCACAACGGATTCTAAATCGCCGCCGGAATTCTCCTTACCGGGTGTATGCGATGGCATCACAAACGTCACCTCCACTTGTGGTATCAACGCGCCTATAATCAACGATCCACCGCTCTCGATTTTCAAAATCTTATTCGAGTCTACGGCCAGATATGTAGCCATTTCGGAAAGTATCTCCGACAATCTGAGTAAGAACAAGTATTGATAATGATTTATCTGTACGCTAACCAGATTGCTTATGTACGCCAATCCATGAATATCGGCACCCAAGGACTTTTCCGCAGTTGGCGATGAACCTGCGGTAAAATGACACCACAATGTCAAAGGAAACGCGTCTAGAAACGGCACGGGTCGATTTTGGCCGACGGCCCGCGCACCAAAAAAATCTCCCCACACAGGCTCGAAATTGCAACACCACACATCCTTCGCCTCGGTCCACAAGAGTTCTCTACTCAGCTGACGCAGCAATTCATTTACGGAATTACTACTGAAATTGGGCGGTATTTGCCTAATATTATCAGTGCCTAGAATATAAAAAAAGGGATTAATGGAAAAGAAAAAGAGAGAGATCTAGATATTTATTATCGATATGTACGAAATCGTAAACACCGTACCTCCGCAATGCGCTAAAAATTTATCTGTTACTACGTGGAAGTCTCCTGATTTACTGGGAAATTCTGCACCAAAGAACATTTGCCCCATCTGAAACGCATTTAGGCACTGTGCCAAATCTGTCCTCGAAGATCTTTCCATAGATCGAACATTCGTTATAGATGCCCTGGAAGTTTGAATATGCAAAGACTTCGGTCTGTCCTTTTGGTTTGGATACTCCTGCTGACTTTCAAAAACTATCTAAAAATATATATTTTTTATATTAATATTACTAAAATAAGAATGTGATATAATATTTATAATATATATTGAGTACACTAATTATATATATATATAATATATATACATCCTAACTTACTCTTGGAAGTATAGCCTCTATCTTTACATCAAAATATATTAAACGTGAAGAACTCAGCTGCTTGTTTTTTCCCATAAGAGAATGATGAAGATTCAATGCAAAAGAATTAAACCAAAGGCATGAACAGACATCAAAGTTTATTTGAATAGGGTTAAGCTGTACATAAAACTTTGGTGGTGGCACTAAAATAAAAAAATTATACATTATTTTATAATTAAGTTATATTAAAAAGAAGAAAAATATATTTTTATAAAAAAATCATCTGCTTACATGGAAAAGTAATATCCCCTGGGTAATAATAATAAGTAAACTCAGCATGAAGTATTGTTACATCTTCTGGAAGACTGAATCGATCACGATCACCTAAATAAACATTTAATTTAAATAAATATAGCTAAATAATCAAAGTACAATTTTTTTCAATCTAAAGATTCGCCTGTCTCTCATGCATAATAATCTCTTTTATTGTAATACAATTCAGTCTCGAAGCATTAAAACAGCATTCAACAATATCATTTATAAAAAAAACATATAGCATAATTTCTCTGTAATAAAAAGAAAATCGAATTACAAATATAATATTAATATGTAATATCAATATTTTCTTCATTGATCTCTCTCTAATATCATTGTACATTATGTAACAAGTTATAAATTATTTTTAAATCATTTAACATAAAATACACATGATATAAAAGGATGAAAAATTGAGTAAAAAATAAAACTATTTATCAAAATAGATCGAGTTTAGCTAGAAACTTCATACATTACATTTACACAAACTACTAATCTGTTATACCTGGTGTATGCTTCTTCCTCGCTTGAGCTGTACACAATTATCATAAATAAAACGGTTATTGACAAGCTTGATGTTTGAGAAACGTCATTCTTTTTAATAAAAAGAAAAAAAATTCGAATGGATATTAAATATGAGTAAATATACCTGTGATAAATTCTTTCGGTATTGGATTACGCGACGTTGTTGTCACTTTATACAATGTAAAATCGTCGATCCTAATAATAATGCACGTCGTCATTAGTTTAGCAAGCTGCTCCAAGACATAATTTTTCACTGGATTACCACTAGGATGCTGAGACTTCTTCTGCTCGGATGGTGTTACATTCGGATTTTGCGATTGATTATTTTTCTCCAAATGTTCTCCAGAGCCTTTCATACCACTAGCTGTTGAAAAATGAAATGAATGATACAGTTTTCAATATCAATTACATTCCATATATTAACTATTCACTATATGTATGCACAAACCTGTTACATTTCCTTGGCTTCTTGTTAGAGGAGAATGTTGCGTTCTACCAGAATCTATAAGATCCATGAACTGACTTCGAAACGAACTTAACGATTGTTGCAACCATTGACTATGAGGTGTAGCATTCTCTTTATATTTGGCCCAATGCTTTCTATCTGCCATTGCCAGATGGTATGGATAATAATCAATTTGAAACTTAACTAATGAAATTTGTAATGCACCACCATCCTTCAGATCAGGATGTAGTGATCTACCTCCTATTTCAATAAAAAGTAAATATTATATAATGTAAAAATCATATTATATATAATAAATACTTAAAATATAAAAAAATAATATGTTTAATAGATAGCCAAACACATGAAAACAAGTATAAATCTCTTTTAAACTTACCACCAGCATCATCACATAAGTGAAGATCAATACGCTGTGAAAGAAAATGGTATGATGTTTCTACAACATCGTATCTTGTAAATATTTTTGATATCGCTGAATTGTATTGATTCTTTGTTCTGCTTTGTTGAGATATTTGTGCCTGATATTCTGGCAAAACCTTAAATTAAGAATGACACACAAATTAATAAATCACATTTGTTTATATATTAAAATTTTAATAAAGCTATGCAAACCTCTAATTTCCTTGCAGCTTTTGTTTTTCGTTCAAGAATGGTAGCCTTCTCTATAAGACCACCCAAAGAATCGAGAAAATGGAGTGCAGCTTTCAATTGTGAATCTGTTAACACCCACAAAAGATCATCCAGAATAATTACTAGTCTGGAGCCCATAACAAAACAATCTGTAATAAGATAATTAATTTAGCAATAATGTAAATAATTTATAATATTTATTAAAATGGGTATTTGCATGACTTTAACAGACCTGATATCCTCTTCTTTATTGTTATTCGACATCTTGCTTGATTTGTTAGTAAACGAAGTGGTGTCAAATTTTTATCCTTAGTACTTTGGGCTTCTATTCTAACAGTTTGCCATTCTAACTCTTTAAAGATAAGTAATTGCCCTCGATCAGGATCCTTCACTCTAGTGGTTCTGAGGTCACAACGTTGCCATGTTGCTGATTTTGATTCTACCATAATCCGATTCATCTAAATAATACAACAATTTTAAGTAAATGTCAATTTCAATGTCAAAATCTCTATGTGTTTAACTTATTGCTTCACACACATTTACTTATTTGTTAAATATTATGTTATACATTGTAATATACATTATAATATCATACCTGGACTGAAGCAATAAATGCAGGACTTTTAAATGTAACCAGTACAGTATTAACAGCTACTGTTATTCCATCAATTACTTTATGTATAAAAGAATATTTTGTAGGACCTGCATATGATGACATACCCTGAGGGGAAAACATGCTTCTCAAATCCTCGCATGTTTCTACATCTATATGAACTTCATCCAAACTCTATAAATATAATACTTTATTTGTATTACTTGCAGTATGATAAATAGTAAAAATAATATGTAAAAATTTTGAATATATTTTTATATGTATATAAAACTATTGTTTACCAAAAAGATAGGAACGCTTTTTAGTTTGGTCCATTGAATGCGAAATGAAACTTTATTACACCAAGCATTAGTTAGTCTTAACCATGATGGCAGCTCTAATAAATCTGTGAGGACTATTTCATCAAGTTCTAAGTTTGTCAGTTCTCCTTCACCCTTAAATGTGCTTAAATTTATCTTATCAGCGGATAAATTCTTGGTGAACCTACAATATTTATAAAATAAATGCTCCACATGCAAAATATAATAATTTGTTATTATTTGCAAAAATGTAATAAAGCAAACTGCATTAATCTATATATTATTTGGATGATATATATATTAACATAAGAATATATGAATTTTTATATAAAGAATATATTATATAACTGTCATATGCTTTGTTTCAACAAATACACAAAAAAAAAGAGGTTTTCATTGACAAGTAAAAGCCAAAAATAAATCTGCAATGGCATATGACAAGAGTGCTCTTTTAATCATAAAAAGAAAATACTTTCTCCCCGATTACTTTCAGCTGTTTTGCGAATGTACTCGGTATTATAATTGTAGAACGCATAAAGAAAAAAATGTAAAGTGAATAATGATAAGACGAATGTTTCAAAGATAAGAAAGTGCTTATATGACGTGTGACTTATGGAACGACTTATGAAAGTAATTTTCAGTGTCAATTAAAAATGCGAAGTCGCACTGTAGGTTAATTAATTTGCAATTACACGCAAATAATACCTTGACAAGTGTTTCAGCAACTGATTTTTGATAATCGAGACCATTTTTTGATTATATATCCTAATTCTTACGGCGGTTAAAATATCTCAGCATGGTTAGTTTGACACCACATATTTATGATGATCTACAGTTGTCGCCAGTTGTCGCGAATAAAATAATCTTACCAAACCCATTTTACTACGGCTGCGTTCCGATATTCACTGCCAGTACTAAAAATCTATAGTGTACGTGACATAAACTATAGACAGTCTCTCTGTCAGTACTAAAAATCTATAGTGTACGTGACGTAAACTATAGAATTTCTGTAACACTGGTAGCACTGACATATCAAAACGCAGCTCATTTCATTTGCACTAGTTTGCACTTTTTACACTCGATTAACGCATACAAGATCTGTCAAAATCTATTTGTGTCTATGTATGTGTGGTCATTTAAATTAATATTTGACAACTAATTGTTGGTAAACATTGTCTACTTTTGATAGCTTTTTCATCGTTATACACACTTTTTATGAAATTTTCTGCGAATGGAGGGTTCATGATGTCTCAACACGGAGCTGCTCTGCAAACGTATAACCAGGAACTCGTTAAATGTAATTTTTTATCCCGTTTAAAAATTATTATTATCAGTCGAATAAAAAATCTCAAATCATTTTATTTTGCTATAACTTTCTCTAATTTAATTTCCTCAAGAATGGAATAAATATTTCAATGTTTCAATAATTAATTCCATTAGGTTCGTATATCTATAACAAAATTTTTTTGTAGGTTTAGAAGAGATGAAGCTAAGGCGAGCAGAGCTTCAATCTCAAATAGTATCTCAAGAAGAAGAGAAGAATAATTTGCAACGTGAAATCGAGAAAATGTCGTGTAAACTTACGCATTTGAATGATAGTCTGGCAAAAAGAATCGCTGTCAGAAATGAATATGACAGAACAATTGCTGACACTGAGACAGCATACATGAAGGTAAAGATTATATTTTTATCTTTTGCTAAAAATTGATATATATTGCTCTTTTATAGTTATATATTTTGTATTTAAATATATTTTTGCTTTTCCACAGATTTTGGAGAGTTCACAATTATTGCTTAATATGATAAAAAAAGAAGCTGTAAGCCTGGATCAGACTTTAGTTAAAGCTAAAATTGAGAAACAATATCAATAATAAAAAAATTATTTGATAAAAAGAACTTACACGAGACCATACATATATATTTATATAGAAAATGTATTTATTAAATTATCAGTCATCACAAAAGTACAGTTACTAATTAAAAAGTACAAAATTGTGTAAATATACACAGGCTCTTAGAAAGGTATAACTTTTTTAACTTGAGCAAAATTTATTAACCATAATATACATATATTATTTGACAGTTTTATATAAGAATAACACTAATCAGTCTATGGTTGAATAAAATTTATAATTGTGCAGTAATTACAGTTGTAAAGAAAACTTGCAACAAATATAATTTATTATAATATAATTACAATTATAGGTACTACTACATTTTGGCAGTATTGTTTAATTTAAAAAGCATTGCATAAATGTGTAATATTATAATTTTAATTTTTTATTACAGGATATATATGTATATAAAGACTGATTATATAGCATAAATTCTATTCTAGAAATAAAATTATGGAATATTTTGTATAATAAACTGAATATTTTTATACAACTAGTATTTTATATATTCTATTTGCTATATATATGTATATGAATAATTATATCAAGATATTTTTACACAAAAAAAACTATTGTTAAACATAGTTTTCCATTTTCAGGTTAAAATCATAATTATATGAAAGAATACACTATATAAAATTTTTTGTTTTGATATCTATAAACTCTTTCAAGCATTTCCAAGAGCTTTCTGCTCATTCCATACTTGTAAAAGTTCATTTGGATCTCCATATCCATGAGATGTTATAACATATTTGTAACTATATTTTGTATAAGCTTTTTTATAAAAGTGAAATTCTTCACAATGAAATGGTAATATATCGGCTTTTTTAGCTATTAAACCTAGAAAAATATCATCAAACCTAAAATGTTTAGTGTAAAAACTGGTGTAATATAAATCTAAAAGAGCTTCCCTAGAGAGAATATATGCACCGGCTGTGATATACGGCGGCCATAAATGGTATGGATATTCTTTCAATGAAACATACCATTTAGAGAATTTATGTCGATGTGGTGCAGATCGCATAAATACAAATCCTGCAAATAACCTAATATCATCTGGTAGTTCAAAATCGAAAAGCTGTCGCTTTGTTCTATTTGACACAGATGTATTTAGCTTAAACGATTGTCTATTTCCTGTTTTAAAATTTTCATTAATTCGTCCGTTTTGTTTCTTATATACATTATTTTTCTGACTATTATTTTTTATCGATTCATAAATAGTAAAACTTTTAAAAGGCATTTTATTTATTTTTAAATTAAATGTTGCATTTTTATTACTGAAATTACTGAGAGCCTTATAATCCGTTAGATCTGACTGTTTGATTTCTCTTTTGTGTGCACTATATACTTTCCTAGATTCCATTAAGTAAAGTGGATAATTAGTTGGGTTCCTGATAAATGTTGCTACATTTTTCACTGACACATATATATCATCATCGACAAACATATAGAATTTTGAATTGGGACAATATTTTACTAACCATTTAAAACTCATCATTGTTTTTATAGTATTATTATAGTATGAATCTATGAAATCTGCTTGTACAATATCTTTATAGATTGTCGCTTCTAACTTTAGCTTAGCTTCTATTTCTTTATCATTTGGATGCATACCTACTAGGAAAATAGTCCTCGCTGGCACATCAAAGAATCTTTTTTCTATTCCCCATGAATTACGTATAGCGGTTCTTCTATCAAAGTTCTCTATAGCAGATTTTATTATATATACAAGACGGAGTGTATGATCCACATCTTCTTTACATTTCTGTGGCTGTTTTAGCACAAAAGCATATTTGTATTCATTTATAGGCTCAACTTCAGGTTTTTCATTGCGTCGCAATGCGTTAACAAACTCATGTATGTTGCCTTCGTATGGATATATAAAGTTTTCATCATACGTGACTTCAAATAGATGTACAAATGCTCCAAAAAATTCTAACAGTGCTATCATACCAAAAAAAAAGAGGATATATCCTAACTTAATTTTTGATATAATACGACGACACCTTTGTAAATAAAGGCGAAGAAAACAGCATTGAAGCAAGTAACACATTTTATCAGTGATACTTTTGCCTATTATTTTTTGTCAATTGCTTCTCTCCAGTTATCAGCTCTGCAATAGAAAATGTTATTGTATAATTCTAATTGTATTCTTTATTTATAGAAATGTGTATGTATATGTATCTTCATAAATTTTTTCGATTAAGTGATATTTTTAATATCCTTTTATTAATTTTTTAAAAATTGATTTAAACTCTCAACAGTTCTCAGAAGGAACATTAAAATGGATACAAATACAAAAATTTTTATAATATCTAAATATAATTTAAATCTAATTGTTTTTAATTAAATTAATAAGAGAAACTTATATATGCACAAGAGTACACAACACATGGTTAAATTTATAAATTGGCAACTTACAAATTGTCAATAATCATTTCTTGTTGAAATAATACAAGAGAATGTATAAATATTCTTTATATATTATATATTCCGTTTCAAAATTATAAATATCGGAATGTAACATTTTCTTTATACTTTTTTTCTTCAGGATACATCTAACCAATTTCTGCTAAATGCAAAATGCATACAGTGTATCGTGGCGCCTCTACAGGAAACTTAATCTAACTAAAAGGCCGAACAGCTGATTCGACGCTCACGCTCACGGTGTGATCAACTTGAAAAAATTATTGCAGTTTTATACTCATTTATTAAAAACTTTTAGAAGAAGTAAGATTTTCTAATATAATACTCTAATATATTCTCTTTTTTAAAATTATATATTTTTAATATTTTCTGAAGTTTTAATATAATCTTTATATTTAATTATTTTATATTAACTTTAATAATAAAGTACAGTTATAATAAGACACGATATCTTGCACTCTTATCGATTGTAATAATTATCGAATTTAATCAATCGATTACTTTTAGTAATCAATTTTTAATAAATTATTTTATCTTTTCGTGTCTAAATTTTGCTCGCGATGTCAATCTGTCATGTCCTTGCATCCGACATTTGTTTATCTGCCGCGTTTACAGATAAACTCGATGACTCGGAAGGACGCGCGGTTTCGGTTTTATTTCGATTCAATTGCTGGGTTATCAATTGGCGATTCAGTAGTAAAATATTACTGAGCATTATCTGAAAAAAATCATTGAATATATTAGTGATCTGTTTTTCGTTAAATAACGTTATAATAATATATGTTAATACCTCTATTTATATCGGATAATTGCTTTAAATTCTCGGTGATTTTTTGCACGATCGCTTCCGATGACATTTTCGAGTTGTTTTCAAATGTCAAAGATGCTGTGTCATTGTTATACATTGCTTCCGTCTGCATTGATTTTTCAATTTCCTGTGAAGTCACATTTAAATGAGATGCAATTTTATTCGATGCGAGAGATGCATTCTGCAAATTCGGTGCTGAATAATCGTACGAATCATTTTTATTGACACTTATAGAATCATTGAGTGCACTGGCGTTAGACATTTTAATGTCTAATGCATGATCTCTTGTCTCAGAATTTGTTAAAGTCTTTTCTTTTTTCTTCCTGGACAAGTAGGCCTGAGAGGCATTTGAGAGAAGTTCAAAACGCGTCGATTTTATCTTTCTAACTACAGTTATATTATTAATTTTCGATAAAAGATCTGTTTTCGCTTCGTAAAAGCGTTGAAAATGACTTGAGGAGAATCGATTGAGATTCTGAAATTTTCCGGCTCTCGTAAAGTTACGTTCTTCTTTACGTGGCTTAAATCTTACGGGCAAAAATTTAGGCAGAAATTTGATTTTTTTCATCGAAAGAGTTGCAATAATCGCGTCTACAGAATCCTTCGTTGCATTTTCATTTGTAGATCCTTTTCTTTTCTCTTCGACTGTCACCTCAGATTGATTATTTTGCAACGACGGCTTTGTGTTTTTCTTTTCAGTAGTATTATTTTTATATTCTGCTTCCTCACTGTTTTTGTTCAGGACATCTTTTTGCGATACGATAGGCGCAGTCATTCTTTTATTACGCGTCGATGCTTGAAGAGGATCGTCCCTTCTTGGTATCCGAGTGATCTCCGCTGTATTTTCGATGAGCGGAAATTCCCGGTGATTCCAATTCGTCTCTTCTTGCGATTCGCGAATAGGCTGCGAATTTATTTTGCGAATCACGAATTGCTTATTTTTTCGCGCCTTTTCCGAAAACGACGGGCTTTTTTTTACGATAATAAATACGTTGATATCGCCGTCGTTCCTCGGTGCTTCGGACTTGTTTGTCGGTGTGTTTTTATTGATCGGTTGAGTGGAAATGCGATCGAGCGAGAGAAATGTCTCTGACGGTGTTTTCTGCTCGAAGGAATTAACCGCAGGCGTTGTGGGGACATCCTTCGACATTGATGATGATACCATCGTTTGCTTTTCATAACGGGCGTTTGTCTCGTCGACATTTTCGTCGAATTCCAATAATTTCTCCGTGACACCGCGATTGTTAATATCAAGATTTAACCGCGCGTTATCGATGTTCGCCATTGATGTTAATCGCTCCTTCAAAGCGTCTGATTGACGATTTTGTGAATGTATTCGAACTCTTTCAAAATTCGTGGCCTCGTTAATTAACTGTCGTACATATGGAGAATATTCTTTATTTTCGTCGATATATATTTCTTGTTTTGGAGCACACGGATTGCTGTCGATGTTGTCTTTTAAAGGCTGTATATATTCCACATTTTCTCCAGGAATAAATGAAGAATGCGCAGTTTTCACAAATCCGGCAGGTGGTGGAATAATCTTTTTTGGAAAATCGTCTATTAAATTTATCGTTGTAACATCTGTCTCAAAATCATTGGAATAAATAGCATCCGCAACAGGTGATCGGACCCGATTAGTATTCTTGGCAGTTGTCATTACAGCGATAGAAATAACCATATTCCATATCCTAGATATAATAAGAAGAGACTATGACTAACATTTTCGAATAATGTATGAATCGATTGAAGAAAGGAAGATAATTACCATATAAATCGAACTATCCAAAGATGCTTCATTGTGTGGCTCTTCACGCGCACGATGATAATAGAAAACTTTCAAACTAGAATAGATTAGTTTATTTTTTGAATTTATATTGTATCCCCACCTTTGAATGTTGATATGGGACATCATATATATATATATGTATCTATAATCTACGTCGCTTTTTTAGAAAATAGAGAAAGCAGATATACTCTGTTAGATATATTCAAAACTTTCTTTTCTATATATTCAAAACTATTCTAATGTATGTGTACATATCTGTTAAATATAAATTTTATTATTAATTATTATTAATTGTAACAGGATTATCTATAACCAAAATAAATTCGTACCATTTTTTTATAAGATTTTATAAGAGCATATAATTATTATTTATAAAAGCATAAATTATTTTTTTATAAGAGCATAAAAAATAATAATAAGATTATGGAAAGCTAGTAATAACTTTTTTAAAATTACCACAAAATTAAAAAAAGAAATGGCAATAACACACATATCCTATTATTAAGAAATATTATGTATGTGTGTATTCACACATTAGCTTAATATACACAAACTTTTGATTAATTCCTATTCTAATTTTTCTTTATTGCGTAATACATACAATATATCTCTATAAAAAATATTTATTCATGATAATAATTAATAATAGATCCTTATTATTTGTTCAAGCAGTTTGACCTGATTTAATAAAAGGTTTAAGTCTATCGTTTGCTGCGTGTTTAAATAAACCCCATACACAGCTCGACGGAGTTTGCGCAGTGTCTATTTTTCTGAAGACCCATGAGGTGAATATGTCGCAGGTAAATCTATTAGAATCTATCATGTCTTTATTGAAAGTAGATTTGCCGTTGGCTAAGGGAAGAGAAACAGGCGATAATGTGCATGTGATAAAAACGTGAAACATCGAAGAAGAAATAAGTTTTAAATTACTTAATCGATAATACAAGGTTCTCTTTAACGACCACATTAATTCGTATAATTAATAATCATTAAAACTTTACAATGTTAACAGGAGTGATTGACGGGTTCGTATATATTTTATGATGTTAATAAAAAATTCATTCACTCATTAATTCAGCTGATTAATTATTTCGTTTTTTTATTGGTAACATATTATGCGTGTGTATGCGTCCGTATGTATGTTGTTGTTGCATTTATCTCAATTAATTGGTAAAATTAATTAAATGTGCAAAGGTAATTTTATTATAAAGTAAAACAATATGTTTCAAAATGACTATGCGCGACAGTTTATTTTCAATGATAATAATATTGTAGATATCGCTTCTCTCTCTTTCGTGATTGTTATGTGCAAATTTTAATGAAATAATTATTTGTATTTCCAGTACGCAGTTGTGTTGCGAGGACAATTCTACTATAATCGGACATGTGGCCGTCGAGGACGACGTTATACGAAGCCGTGTAACGTCCTTAGTATGGACTTCTTACGGTATTATAGTTCCAATTATATTAGCCATTGGTGTTTTCGGTAATATGGTAATCCTTATCGTGCTGTCCGGCCCGGTGTTTCGCGGAATCGCATACTTGTATCTCAGCGGACTCGCTCTGGCTCACATCGGTGTTACAATATCTTGGATAACAATCAGTTTGTACAGTTTGATTCTGCAACGCATATTGAGAAAGATATACTGCTCGAACGAACAACAATCGGCGATTGCGCACGTCCAAATAAAATTCAAATCAATTGAATAAATTAAAAGCAATTACGATGATCGATATACAATGATTAAGATTATTACTTGATTATAACTAATTTTAATTGGCAATGTCTACAATTACGTGCACGTATTAATTCGATGTTCGTTTGGGTAAAAACAATTTTTCTCTCAGTGTAATAATGAATACAGCACTATATATAATACACAATGTTATGATACTTTTTATATTTCAGCACTAAGATTGGGTTACGGTATGAATAATAATTATTTGTCAGCTTTTTACTATGCTCATCTTGAGCTTGTTGTTCTGAATGCTTTTTCGGCTGCCAGTGTTTTCATCATGGTCTGTTTAATCGTGGATCGATACGTTTTTGTATTCTTTCCGGCACGCATTCGTACCGGAAGCACGCGCAAGAATGTTAATACCTTTATACTGTCTTCGTTTATCATCGGTTTCGTGGTAAAAAAAGCGAGATTAAAAAAAAAGTTATATATGTAATAAAATAGATTGCAATATATATATATATATATATATTTTTTTTTTTATTTCGTTGACAGATGAGTAGTCCGTTATCAGTTATGAGGACTGTTTATGCAGAACAGGATGGACCTGATATGTTTTTCACATTACGCGAAAACGTGTCCGTCACGCAGAGCAAGATATGGAAAATGTATATTTGGACAATGGAAATTATAGTGCGATTTTGCCCGTCGATTCTGTTTATCGTATTGAATAGTTTGGTCATTAAGAGGTTTTTGCAACTAAACGCACAAAATCGGCAATTCCACGCTGCCACGGACAAGTTTCGTGCTAATAATGCACCTGACACGTCGTTATTATCTCGCAATCGAGGATATAAGTATGTAATAATTTGTAAATAATTCTTTTTTGTATTTTAATTTGAAAAATTGAGAAGATTCATATAATTCATATCTATATATCATATTCCCCTAATATCATACATAAGATCATTCTCTTTGTAGAGAGGAGCAACATTTGGCGATACTGACGACAACAATGATTTTGTGCTTCTTTGTCACGACAATTCCGCCAGGTCTCATGTCGATACTATATATCAATCATCACCCGCTCGATCTGGCTTACCAAACCTTTCGAGTGTGCTCAGCGATCATCGAACTCAGCAATTATGCTATTTATATCCTTATATATCTCATTTGCAGTACAGAATTTCGAAGAGAATTACTGCGAATTCTACAAGTGAGTTCATACATTTTCACATTCAGTTCGTTAACTGCGATAATTGTCGTTCTAAGATCACATTAAAAATCAACAAATTAGATTTTTAATAAGCAATAATTATGAAAATAACGCCCTTAAAAAAGAATTTCGGGATTGTATTAAATAAATTAATACACATCATAATTTTTTTATAACTAAAGAAATATTGATAATTGATAGGTTGATTTTCTAGCATTATATATTTTATCATTTTTACATTAAAATTCTCTCTGTAACATATAACGGCGGATATAATATAACTTTTTAATTTTTCGAAAAAAAACAGGGAAGATGTAATGAAAATGCGATGCAAGATGTTGATCAACCGATAGGCGAAATCGAAGATTACAGTCGACACGGCACTACTGTTCGATTAACACCAGAACATACCAAATTAAATTCCCCCGAGTCCCCGACTAAAGAAGCTAAAATGGAAGAAGATTTACAATCGTCAGACGCTACTGCTTTTATGTTAGAGGGTCGCGTTATTGCATAATTATATATAATTGTTTATTAGGACCAAAAAAGAAAACTATACTTATATTATATATATATGTTTGTACTTATCACGAATCATCGTATTATATTTATAATGCATCCGTAATGGTAAAGTTATGTTTATGTAACGATTGTCTTAAATTATAATGTATTGAATAATTAATTTTAATTGTATTACAAGTGTGATATTTATCGAAAATTTCGATTATCAATGAAATTAAATTAAAAAATCGAAATTAACCCTTATTTGCCCTTATATATATTTTAATGCGACTGCGTGTTTCGGCACGCTTCCTGTATCCAAACCTAACCTAACCTTACCTAACCTAAGACAGCTGCTCGCAACTTCTTGCTGATGATAATTTATAATCTACCTGTCAAAGTTCAAAGTGTGTGAATATGATATATATTGATAAACATTGATTACGGTGTTTAATTATAAAGCAATTTACTCTTTAGCGACATATTCCATGTAGTTTATCTGTGTAAGTAGATTCAGATATTATTATATTATATTATTTGCAAAAAATCATAAAAGAAGACGTTAATACTAAAATGAAGATAATGTATTAAAATATCAAAAGAAACAAATCTTGATGATTATTATTTATTTTTCTAGTAAAGGCTTCATAATGTTTGAATTGCCAACGGAATTGACAGCTAAGCCTTTAGCTCTGATAGGTTTGACTGGATTAGACATTACAAATCCAGTACACCGCTCTATTTGGGATGCATTTAGCAATAATCGTAGACCGGATTGTGCAGCTGTTCAGTTTAAACTATTGAGTTTATCACATGAATTTCCTACTGTTAAACCAAAGGTATATAATCTGTTTGATAGCAGATTACTGGGATAAGTTCGTGAAAGAATATCTCTTAAATATTGGAAACTATTTGCTTGACATTGCTATGTATTATTTTTACATTTACACTATGTACTATTACATTTACATTGTTTACATGTACTATTTTATATACTTTAGCGTAGTTCATATGAATGGTACATACCTAAAGGAATCTTAAAAAGAAATTGGATGAATAAATATCTCAATGATATTCCTTCTGTAGTTGTTGTATTTTATGATTTGGATTGGAATGATCCTTTATGGAATGAGAAAAAGATGGAGTGTGCCTCTAGAGTACAATCTTTAAGGTAATTATTTATATAACTTACTCAAGATATAATAATGCAATCAATTTAATTGTTGTATTATAAATATAGCATTAATTTTTTAATAATTATAATATTTTTCTTAGAGCTGCCCTTGATGGAAGAAGTACAAAGATAGCTGTAGTATTGATACAGCATGCTCTTCAACCGCTTCCTGGTGCTGAGGATGTGGTTGCAACTGAACGTGCAACAGCATTGTGTGGAGCTTGTGATTTAACCGCGAAGTTTTTGTATATTTTACCACATGCCGATCATTTATTGGGATATATATCTAGGTTTTTAATAGTTCTTTCTATTCTTTTATTGTTTGCTCCCCCATTTTTTTTTTTTTTTTAGTACAT